TCACAGGGACATGAGTGCCCAAGCTCACGGGATCCCAGAGGCCATCTGCAGGACCCACATAACTACATGTCACAGGGACATGGGTGCCTGAGCCATAGCCCCCGTGTGTCACCACCCTGAAGCTGCTATTAGCAGAGATGATAAACTGGCAGAGCCCTCGACCCTGGTAGGCAGGACAGGCAGGAAATACAAATATACCCAAAAGAACTTCAGATTGCTTCCTTTTCTTTAAGAAACTGATCCGAAATTTCAGCTCACTCAGCCCAGCAGCTTCCAAACTTTTTTTGTTTTCACAAACTAAAGACTCCTTTATTTAATCAAAATGTAACTGACTGCTGTTGCCCAGTAAGCAGTCTATGACAGGCCCTACTGAGCTGACAGCCCTTCTGGAATCTGAGCATCCTCTGTCCTCACTGTACTCAGAGCAACAGCCCCGCTGCCTCGCCCACTACTCTTCCCTGCTCCACGCTGTGCAAACCTGCTCCTTCTCCAACTCTAAACCCTTCACTGTCTCACCAGATGTTTTAAGATAAAGTCTAAAATGTTTAGCCCAGCCAAAAAGGCCTTCACGAGCTGTTTCCTATTTCACTCCCTGGCTTGAACTTGAGACACTCTTCCTTCATTGCTAGGTTCCAGCCACACTGAGGGTTTTCCCACTTCCCATCCCTTTGCCGGAATTTCCCCCTGCTCTGCTCTCTCCTTCCCCCACCTCCAGCCCCCCCTCCTCCTCCTCACCTGTCTGATCTCAGCCTCAGTCAGGGCCTCCCAGTCTACATTCTCCACCCCTGCACTTTCCCTCTGTAGCTCTCTCAGCAGTTGGAACTTGCTGGTTATCTGCGAGCATTGCGGCCACGCCTGCCTTCCTGCTGACCTCTCAGCTCTGAAGGCAGCAAGACTCTCTGCCTCACTGTGTCACAGCTCTGAGCACAGCACCTGGACACTGACCGCACCCACCCAGCATTCTTAGTGAACCAGAGACTCAGACGGACCCAACATGCAGACCATAACACAAAGAAAGATTAGGGATGTCAAGCTGATTCCTCCTCAAGGGCCCCGAGATGCCCCAGAGCAACTGTGGCCTCCACGGAGCAGCATGAATCTAGCTAAAATCCTTTAGTTTTAGATAAAATACTAAAGCATGGAGAGCTTGTGGGATTTGTGTAACGGCACACTAGCAGAGCCCTCTGGACATCAGAGAAGGCAGCTATGTCCTTCCACAGGGCACCTATTGGTAACAGCTGACTAGAATGGATTATGGGGCCAACGTTATGAAGGGATTTCTGTGCACTTCAGAAACATCCAGATAGCTGGCGAGACTTGGGCGCTAAAGGCAAGGAGGGGAGCCCACGGCGAGGCCAGCAAAGAGAAGCTGATGCAAACACGTAAGCCCCGTTTCTTACCAGGTATTGCAGGGTCCCCACAAAGGAAGTACAGAGACTGCCCTGATCCAGCTCCTTGGCATATCCTAGGTCAATAATTTTGTGTATTAACTGAAAAAAAAAGGGAGGAGGAGAAATGTGAGAATTACAAGCACTGTCCTTCTATATGGGTTTTGATCATTTGCCATTAGGGCAGAGATATTGCTGAATTCCCAGGTGGCATCACAGCCTAAATTCCTAGGAGCCACCAAACACACAGGTGAGGGCCTTGGACATGGGGGAATCAGGGCAACAGAAAACACTTGCTGTAAAGATGCCAACTGTGTTCCTCACACGCTGCCACCAACCCGGGGGAGGCTAAAATTAACAGACCAGGCACCAGCTCTCAAGACTGTTAAACCTGGACCGCACACACAAAAGGCTAAGTCAGCCTCTTTCCAGTAAATGGCTCTAGTTCTCAAGTCGCAGATGCCCTGGCAGGGATGAGTACGAGCTGGAACAAAGGTGAGCACTGTGGCGTCATGGCCAGGCCTCAGGTGTTGAAGGAAGTAGCATCGGAAGGGTTTAGGGGACCCAGGAGCTGAGTTACCACATTCCACTCAGCTGAACAAACAAAGTGGTGAAAGGACATAGCAGCAGCAGAGGCCCCACAGGGAGGTTCCCGCCACGCCCGAGCAGGGTGGCCACAAGAGGGTCACCATGAGCTCTTGGGGACCTGCAGGCAGGCCCAGGCCCAATGGGTGGGCGCCAGCTCCAAAAGCCTCTTCCCAGGCAACCCAGCCCAAGTGACAGGGACTGTCATTCAGCATCAGCAGGTGAGGGTCCTAAAACAATGGATGACAAAAGCCCATTTTCAAGAAGTGCTAGTCCCACAGGCTGCGGTTAGAGGCAGGAAGACAGACTTTTTTTTCCTTATCTGATTCTGGCAACTTGGTAATTAACAACGTGACCCATTCCAACTGGCCTTAATTGTGTAAGACAATTTTTGCTGAATTCTGTTTCCAATCAAAAGCATTCCCAGAGCATGAAAGAATCACTCTGGGAAATGCAGACACAGACGCCCCCACCAAGCAGCTCCTGCCCCACCAGAGCAGCTCCGCGGGGAGCCCCAGGCTCACTCACTCTTTGCTCTCCTTGCTGCAGAACGATGTTTTCTGGCTTCAGGTCCCGATGGATGATTCTGTTTTCATGAAGGTATCTAAGTGCAGAGGCTGAAAGGATAGAAAGGAGAGTGAATTTTTTTTTTTTTTTTTTTTGAGATAGAGTCTCACTATGTCGCCCTGGGTAGACATAGCTCACAGCAACCTCAAACTCCTGGGCTTAAGCGATTTTCTTGCCTTAGCCTCCCAGTAGCTGGGATTATAGGTGCCTACCACAATGCCCGGCTATTTCTGTTGCAGTTGTCATTGTTTAGCAGGCCCAGGTCGGGTTCAAACCCGCCAGTCTTGGTGTACATGGCTGGTGCTGTAACCACTGTGCTATGGGCCTTGAGCCTGGGGAGTGAATTTTTATTAAATCTAAAAAACCTAAAAAAGCCTTCTCATTTCAGAATCTCCTATGCAGTAAAATACAAATGCCATGTGACTGGAAACATGGGGTGACTTTAGTGGAGGGAAGAGGCAGCCACCCCCGAGTGGGGCTGAGGTTCCTATATAACCAGAACTTCAACTGCCACCAGAATCTGGCTTATTTGTGCAAGGAATTCTCAGCCCTGTGGGACTGAGGTCACTGATAGCCGTCCACAATGGTGGTTCTCAAAATGCACTGTCGGGAACAGCTGCAACCACTCTTGTGGTTAGTATCAAGAGTTTCAAAAGCAGATAAAATTACCTTTATCTGAAAATGGTTTGATTACCTAGAGAACGCAACAGACTAAAAACCGGAAAGAATTCAGTAAGTCGTGTGGAAGCGACAAGTATATACAGATGAAGAGCTTTTCTCTACGTCGGCGACACGGAGGAGAAAAACAATGGAGGAGAAAACAATCCTGTTCGTGCAACTCTATAGAACACCATGGGATAGACTGAGCAGAACAGTAGCGCTGTGAGGAAAAGTAAATCGCCCGAAGAGAGACAGTACAGATAACACAGAGAGGTCTGAAACGTTTAGAATGAACGAGGCTATAAATAAAGACAAAGGATACGGCACACAAAAAACCTGTGTGTACAACACGTGGACCACGGGGAAAACGCATCTCATGGGCAGAAGCTCTTACCAATCAGTAAGAAAACGGGCAAAGAACGGGAGGTGGCCATTTACAGAAGAAGAAATACAACCACCCAAGCGCCATGACAGCCAACAAATGCAAACCAAAGCAACACGAAAGCTTTTTACTTGCAATAAGCAAGACTTTTTGGTGAGATATAGAGAGTTACCCCCCTCCCCACGTTACTGAAGGAGCAAAGACGGGCAGCACTTCAAGATCTATCACGTTTTTAACGTTACTTCTTCTTTTAGAGACAAGGGTCTATGTCGCCCAGGCTGGACTTGTCCTCCTGGGTTGAAGCAGGGCATCCTCCCACCTCAGCGTCCTGAATAGCTGGGAATTACAGGCGTGGGCCGCTGTGCCCCAGCCACCTGTGAAACTTCATAATGTAATATTTGACCCATTATTTCTACCTTCTGGGAATCTACCTTATAAAATCAAACGCTTCATGACACACATATAATGATATAAGGATACTTATTGCATAGCTTGGAATGAAGTAATTTGAAATATTTAGGAAGAAACTGAAAGTCAACAATGAGGAGGTGGTTGAACTATTTATGGCAGACACACACTGTAACAGGTGGCCCTGAGGTGTGCATTTTCTGATGCTGTGGTGTGTCAACCATGCACTGCCAAGTTAACGTATGACCTGTGTTTTGTTAAGAGAAAAAAAGCCAGAAGGAGTAACGACACTAATAGGTTTAGTGCTCTCTGTGACACACACACACACACACACATACACACACACACACGGCGCTCTGTCTGGAGCAGGGGGAATGACTCTGGGCTGGACGTTTCCTGAAAACACATTTCAAAGTCAAACTGAAGAGCAAACAACTGGCGTACACCTTGTTCCAGGAGTTGCCGACCAGAACATTCAGCCACAAAGGCTGACATCTCAGATGTGACAACGCTTGGAACCAGAAGTGTTTTGGACTTGGCTTCTTCCAGATTTTGGAGTATCTCCCTGTTCGTAATGAGGTATCTTAGAGATAAGACCCAAGTTTAAACATGAAATTCATTTGTTTCATATACATCTTATACCCATAGCCTGATGGTAATTTTGTTACCATATTTTTAATAATTTTGCACATGAAGCAAAGTTTGTGTTATGTGCTTCTGTGTGGAATTTTATACTTGTGGTGGTGTATCAATGCTCAAAAAAGCTTCAGATATCAGAGCATTTCAGATTTCCTATCAGGGACGCTCAACTTGAATCACAAAATCTCTAACTACATCCATCCTTTCAAACCCAGACTTGGATCATGTCGTTCACATTTCATACTTTTCTTTTTCTTTTTTCCCTGACACAGTACCTTGGCTTAGGTCCAACTAACATTCAAATGAAGTGAAAGGCTCCTTGCTTCCCAGGTGCCTAAAAAGTTCCACTCCACCGTGTTTCAAATTGTATTAAAGTTCAAAGGCCAAAGTTCTTATCAGTGCTTTCAATTTTGTTTTACTATTTTTTATTTTTAAAAAAAGCAGGCCGGCTGCAGTGGCTCACACCTGTAATCCTAGCACTGTGGGAGGCCAAGCTGGGAGAATCCCTTCAGTTCAGCCTGAGCAAGAATAAGACCCCATCTCTACTAAAAATAGAAAAACTAGCTGAGTGTGGTGTCACACACTTGTAGTTCCAGGTACTGGGGAGGCTGAGGCAAGAGAACCCCTTGAACCCAAGAGTTGGAGGTTGCTATGAGCTATGATGATGCCACAACACTTTACCCAGGGCAACAAAGTGAGATTCTGTCTAAAAATAAATCAAAGCAAAGTACAATAAGGCACTCTAAGAACTGCACCAACACAGCCCTGAAGACGAGGATGGCGTTACAACTCCTGAGCCTGGACGGGGTGGAGGCAGCAAGGCCATGGGGTGAGCTGAAATGTTTACTCACTGATGGACTCAGCAGTGACCAACTTTGGTGTAAGTCACACGGCTGAAGAGTCTCGGGGTATAATATGTTTAAAAAAAGTATAAGTTGGTTTGATCCCAAGCAGAACCTAAGTTGAGAAGGTGCATGGGCTCAAACTGAGACAAGGCCCCACAGCTAGAGGTGAAACATCTTAGGGCAAATAACGTGGTGCCAGAGGTGAGCTGGCCTGAGAGGCCCCTGAGGGGAGAAGAGCCCTGAGAAGGCCGGAGAGCTCCCCACAGAGAGTGAGAGTTGAGACGGCCGAGAGCTCCCCACACAGAGTGAGAGTGGTCACCTGTGAGGAGGGACAGCACCTCGGAAAGGGAACCCACTGATTACTATTAATGGCTAACTCTTTTAAGCTTAACCAACTACACATGGCAAAACTTCCGTCCTTATTTTCGGGTAGTCCTTCATTCTCAATACTTTGGTCAACTGACGGTAACAGTCTGGAACTGAAGAATCTGGCAGGCACTGTAACATGCAGTTTCTTGAACTGAGTGGACATGTGACCAAAAAAGTAAAAATTCTGATAGGCAACACCTCTTAGATGACTCCTCTCACAGAAGGAGCTTCAAAACTTGGTTCAGTCTGACTGTGCTACATTTTACAAAACAGTAGCTGCAGCAAAATTGTCTCAGGAATCTGACTTGGCTTAAATTTGATGGAATATGAGATACTGAAATTAAGAAAGATAACTCTTGGCTGGGCACAGTGGCTCTTGCCTGTAACCCTGGCACTCTGGGAGGCCAAGGCAAGGAGGATCATTTGAACTGAGAAGTTCAAGACCACCGTAAAGAGTGAGACTCCATCTCTGTTAAAAATATAAAAATGAGCCAGGTGTGGTGAAATACGCCTATTGACCCAGCTAGTTGGGAAGCTGAGGCAAGAGGATCACATGAGCCAAAGAGTTTGAGGTTCCTGTGAGCTACAATGACACTACTGCACTCTATCCAAGTCTGTCCCCTCCCAAGAAAAAAGAAAGAAAAATACTCTTATGTCTGGAAGTTCTTTTTTAAAAAATCTTAAATCCCTGGCTGTAGTCATAATACCATTTATAAAAACCAAAAACCAACACCACAAAGCATAAAAGGCTAAGAGTTAACTTCTTATGTTCCAGTAACAGGAGAATTTTAAGAAGTACTCACTCTATGAGAAAATTTTTTTTAAATTTTTTGAGGCAGAGTCTCAATATGTCATCCTGGGTAGAGTGCTGTGGCGTCATAGCTCACAGCAACTTCAAACTCTTGGGCTTAAGTGATTCTCTTGCCTCAGCCTCCCAAGTAGCTGGGACTACAGGCGCCCACCACAACACCCGGCTATTTTTTAGTTGGAGTTGTCATTGTTGTTTGGCAGGCCCGGGTCGGGTTCGAACCCACCAGCCTGGGTATATGTGGCTGGTGCCCTACCCACTGAGCTACGGGTGCTGCCCTCTGTGAGAGCTTTAAACAACACAGTGGCATCTCCTAGGAGATACTCAGCTCTAAGAGGGTCCAAGTGATGGACATGCCACAGAAAAGTACAGCCGCTCCCCATTGCCGTTGTCGGGAGTGGGGCCCGGGGGACACCCAAGCCCTCCCTTAACTCATGAGGAAGACACACATTTAACTGAAGGATGTGACAATCCTTTAATTCTTACTGATGTACCAGGATTCCAAGTCACGACTGCTATGTATTTTTTTCAGATCTTAAACCACAAAACAATGAATAGACAGGAGCAGCCAGACTCACACAAAGAGCAGGTGTAGAAGGGTGGTGTCTGTGGAGCCCACTCCCCACACTAGCAGTCTGAAGGGATTACTCAGCTCCCTAGAGAATGCATCTATTTGAGATACATTCCATAGAGAAGCAATGGAAAGATAAAGGAACCAAAAAGTTGAGACAGAGGAGAAAAAAGGCACCATGTCTGGTGAAGTCACCACTGCATAGGAAGGCAACAGGACAGTCGCTCACTCAATGGAGATGCACTGGTGCCTGTGATGTGACAGCCACCTGGGTGTCACTGGGCTTGCCAAACAAAATAGGTTGAGAGGCCAACTGTGGACATGTGGAAGAAGACTCAGCCCAGCTCAAGTCTTCTTGGCTAGAGAGC